TTCAAAAAAATAATGATGTTTGCATTTTATTAATATTATAAGAAAGTTAGACCTAGTCTTTTTTGTAAGCTTTCAGTAAACATTTTTCAATGCATTTAAAAATGCTATATTTTAAAACTCAGGTTATGAAACACGTATGACAAGTGTTTATGTTTACTACTCATGTCATTATAAGAAATATAAAACATAGCTGACCCGACTGTTTTAGTAACAACTTCTCATTTAATAATATCAAAACATTGTTTGTTTGAAGTTCAGCACAAAGCTACACAATGGGCTATATATGCTCTTCCTACCATGGGTATCGAAATCCGATTTCTAGCGTCGTAAGTCCGCAGACATATCGCTGTGCTACTGGGGGGGGGGGCAAACATAAAATAGCGCATCAAAACTAATAAACTATGGCATCTTGATGGAAGAATTGACTTCATTTTCATGCATTTATTGGTCGAAAGGAATTTTCATATTGAAATCATAGGTAGAAAGAATTAATTCTAAACTGATAAAATGTAAAATGTTAAGCTATTCTCAAAGAATACGATAATGTATAACTTAGGAGGTAAACACTTAAAATCAGTTCAACATAGTTCCTCAGGCAACCTCCAGTAATCAACTGAGGGTAAATTGAAGACTTTCCAAATATCGAGCTCCTTTCCTTAACTATAAACAGCACATAATAAAGACATTGATATATATATATTATTTTAACTTCGTAAACCCACACGAACAGTAAACGGAATTTTAAACAAAAGGTTCATAAGCTTAAACTCGGTTATTTTCAAATTCTAAGTCCCGTACATTTTTCCACATGGAAATATACTGCCGCATATTGGTAGAATAATAATATAAACAATACTGATACAGTTTCTCACTTCAATCAATGACCACTACTATCTTTTTAACCATGTGGGCCATTTACCAATACGATTCTTATTGTTCACCTGCCGCGACCTTTATAGCTAGAAACAGAACTTGGCTATATTGTAAGGTTTGACTACGTCTCGCTGGCATTAATTTTCTTTATGGGCTGTACCATTCGTGCATCTCTAAGTACCTGAACCTACTTCCGCAAATTAAAAACATGATAAAATAACAAAAACAGTAAAATAATTACAGTTATGAAAACTAATTCTTATTAAAATTTGTTCTGATTTCCTTTTATAGAGATTAACAGTGATCATATGAATTACATGATTTATGATTATATAGACAGATGTAAAATAAGTAATTAAAAGTTGTTTGAAATAAGTATTTGAGAATGGTGTGAACTTAGCCAATCATTCGTTAAGTAATATATCTATCTTTCTCCACTTTTCAAGTGTTCAATCCAAAACTTGGCGGTTTTTGTAGTTTGAGATGAGAAAATCAAATTAAAAAAATTATCCTTTTCGTTCTCGAAATTTTATCATTTATCATACTTTTTGTAGAAATATAAAGCTTTAAACGTCACATCACACCAGTCGGTGAAATGGCTTAAAATTAGTAAAGAATAAGCCTTATTAATTGAACTAAGGTATATAGTGTACAATGAATGGTTCAGTCATAATTAAAATTAAATAACAGAAACAAACTGCTCGTTGCTTTGCAGAAACATGACGCGGGAAAAAATGCCTAGACAAATTTTACTTGTTTATTTCGTTTAGTATTATGTACATTAATTTAAGAAAAATATTGTTTGTTCTATAGTGGTTCAACGGATTTTATAGGGTTAAATTCTGAGTGTGATCCCGGCCGTAAACACAGCACAGCTTTGCTTTTAATAACAAAAACAAACGTAACTATGAAATTATTTATATGGTTTAATTTTCAGATCCATTTAATACTTTTCAATTCTTTAATTTTTCGAAAAGTTATATGATGTTTTAATTGGTATTTTAAAAAATGTGTCAGAAAATATTCTGTGTGGCAGGAAATAGGACTGATTCCATCAGAGCTTAGCATTTGTTATGTGAAACGAGGCTAATTTGATCGAAATGGCAAGTAATGTAGTGTTTGAGAATTCATAACGTGTTCTAGGTTACATCCTAACAATTGGCACTGTAATTCAGGTTTAGTTTTAAACTTGTAATTTGTAGGGAGTTTATTAAGAGAAGGCGCTCCTAGCTGTCTTTGTGTTCGGCTCACTTGCTCGTGCCTAGTAGTTAGAACGCTCGACCGTCTGTGGATCGCGGGTTCGAACCCTATCGCCAAACATGCTCACCCTTTCAGCCGTGGGGGACGTTATATGTGAAGGTCAATACGACTTTTCGTTGGTAAGCGTTGTTGACTAGATGTCTATCACTTCAAAATTAGGGACTGCTATAATAGATAGACATAGAATAGCTTTGTACGAAATTCAACAAACGCTTGGTGTTAATGTTAACTGTTGAATTGACTACTAACGTTTTTTCAATGGCTCAGATTATCATGATTATCAATATTACTTCTTAGCCATTCAAATGATGCTCATCTCTCAACTAACAAACATCATGTCGTATTCTGAACAAACAAAAGAATTAATTACTGTTCATTATGCCTGAAAAATAATTATTGAATACAGTAATTAAAATATATATTCTATTCAGTATAAAAATTAATTGTATTTAAATACTGTGAAGATTAAATTGACTTTGAGATTATAAACCAGAATTAGCTATTAATTTGTTTTAAGTAAGACTTTCGTTCCCAGCTACTGTAAGTACAAATCATTCTTTACAAAAACGTTAGTGTTAATTTCTGTGTTTCGTTAGTACGAAAAGCTAGTGTTAGTTTCTGTGTTTCGTTAGTACAAAAAGTTAGTGTTAGTTTCTGTGTTCGTTAGTACGAAAAGCTAGTGTTAGTTTCTGTGTTTCGTTAGTACAGAAAGTTAGTGTTAGTTTCTGTGTTTCGTTAGTACAAAAAGTTAGTGTTAGTTTCTGTGTTTCGTTAGTACAAAAAGTTAGTGTTAGTTTCTGTGTTTCGTTAGCACCAAGCTGTATAATGGTTTAGCTGAATTATGCTTATCGAAGGAATTGAACCCTAAAATTCTAGATTCTGTAAAAAATGAGAATCAATTTTAAGCAGAAGGTAAGTTAGTTTCTGTACAAACAATTATAGATACAATGCACAGAATATTTTAAATTATATGGTAACGTATTTATATTTTTATCAAGCTATTTTTGTATTGCATCTTATCAACCACTAGTGCTACCAACAGAAGGCCCAAAAATTACAGGAAGACACCTAAAGTACCGGGTAGGAGATACCGTAACAGTGAACTGTACCTCAGCTAAATCGAAGCCAGCAGCTACGCTCAACTGGTACATAAATGATGAACCGGTAAGAGTTTTTAACAATGAAAACATCATAACCGTGAAGTTATGTAGAACCATGGCATTATATAGAAACTTACCTGACATTAGAATAACTGGTAATACTTGTATACTGGTGAAATACTTTTTACATTTTTAATATATTTATTTTTCATGACATCTGTGTTAGGTCAGTTGTAAGGAAAATGCTCTTTTTTACGTATAAGTCAATATGGAACGCATATGCAACAGACAGGATTTATATCACTATATAGAGATATTTGAATCCTGAACATCAACATTTAATTTCTATGTGTATTTTTCTATCTAAACATCTTTAGTTGTTTTTAATTTAGAAGCTTATCTTTTATTATAAAGATTTTGTTTAATAACATATTGAAAATCTAGTTACTTTGTATACTCAATATCAGGACAATTGAAAAGTTTTCAGTTAAAACATGAAAAAATATTGTTGTTTTATCATTTGAAATTAGGTTTGTAAAATGAATAGTAAATTTTCATGGTGTACACACATATAGTTATAGAATTTTGAATACATAAATGGTTTATGCAACAATGCCAGTCACACATCGACCTGAAATAACATTTAATTGTAATGTTTTATGTATATGTTTTACAAAGTAATACTACAAGACTTTAACTTCATGTTCAAGTAGTTGCGAAAGTACTCTGATGTGATCTCTGCTAGCCTTATATTATTACTTGTGTAGTGATAATACACACGTAAAAATAGCTTATGAACTATATGCACGTTTTTACACGTGACTTTAGAAGTGCTATTCTTTTTTTAGTTATTATGCTGGGTAATTAGTGACGAACAAAATATTGATCAGTTAGTACCACTTCTTGCAAGACTGCAAAACAATAATCATGAGTTAATTTTCTAAAAGATAGCTGATAATTCTTTAAACATAAAACGTGATCGTTAGTAAGTTATTGAGTGTATACTAAAAGATGGGCATAACATAATGTGTGAAGCATGGGAGAATGATCTTTCTCCTGAGCAGTTCTTTGACATGACGCACTGGTACATCCTTAAGATTATCAGGATGTTTGGGAAAGTTCATTTCCGAGATTGGTCGCATATCATTCTCAGTATACTCTGTTCTTTAGATTCTGGCGGTTTTACAACGAACTCTGCCTTGCATAGTGTCAGTATACTTTGGTCTTTACATTCTGGTGGTTTTACAACGAACTCTGCCTTGCAAAGGGTCAGTATACTCTGTTCTTTTGATTCTGGTGGTTTTACAACGAACTCTGCCTTGAAAAGGGTCAGTATACTCTGTTCTTTTGATTCTGGCGGTTTTACAACGAACTCTGCCTTGCATAGGACGGCAAATTGAACAATTTATTCCTCTGCGTAACTTTCCAAGTACTAATAATGTTTTTGGTGGCATTCAGGAGGCCTTCTGTAGGCATGCGCTCTAAGTTTCATAGACACCCAAATTTGCAACTGATGTTTACACATGCCACTACTCTGTTGTCTAGTGGAAGTGACAGTTTATGAATTATTGTTAGAAGGTCTGAACTTTAGAGTGAGTAGAGGGTGAAAAATCACGGTCCATTACGTCCCATCACGTATTTATTTTCCTTTCCCCTGATCTTTCGACCTTATATGTCTCGCATACAGACATTGTTTACCTTTATTTCTCATATTCGGGAATGAATCTTGTAATTCCTGCACAGATGTCTTGAAAGATTTTAGCAGATGAGACGCTGTACTGAAATCCATTTGGGAGTTTTGTAATGAACGATTTGTCTTGTGAAACATCTCCAGGGATAACATTTCAAAATTCCATCATTATACCTGTTTCTAGTTGTTCCAATTGCAGCTTAAGGCTTCTTGACTCTAAGCGCACTTGAGGCTTTTCAGAGTCATTGTCCGTAATGGAAACGAGAACTTCCGTTATGGCTTTGTACCCGATTTTTAAGGCTCGTATAGTGACTGAATGGGTGCTCCATCTTGAGTCTGATAACCTCTTTATTGCCGGGAACCCTAGTTTTTCAAGCACATCGTGTAGGCGCTACCACAGGCAGGTTGAAGCTGAGAAAAATACATAAAAACTTCTGTACAAATGCAAAGAATAAACAAGCTTCAGTACCGGAGTCAACAGTGCATTCTCAAAGAAAATTAAGCGAACGAACACAGCAGGGAACGTAGTCTGCTAGTTTTTTTCTCTTTGATCAAGGCATGCATGCTCACTGCAATCTTGAATTCTTACATCATTCATTTTCAAGGAAATTTAATGGAAACTCTTGCAAAATGTACTTCTGTGTGATTACTTGTCGGTAAAACTGTGGTAAATCTCTCTCTACCGGGCCATCATCTAGAACATACTTAAAGATTATTGTAAGTTGATCCATGAAGAGAAACAACAGTTTCTGAGCGCCCCTTGGATACCTCTCAAACCCCTGAAATATTTCAAACCACAATAACCGCCAAGATTAGATTAGACTAGATACGCAACTTTGATGCAGCAAGCTTGTTTTGTGCTTATTGAAATCCTTGTAGCATGTTTCCAGTCAGCATAACCAGCTGTTGCTAGCGAAGAATTTTCTAGTGTTGTTAGAAACAATTTGCATATAATGCACAAGACAGTCCCCTTCGACCTGTGAGTAGCAAAGTTGGTCAATTTTAACCTTTTTGTCATTCAATTGCTCATGGCAGAAAAGGGTCTTTGAACATTGACATTTATACGGAATCAATTTTGGAGATGTACTGAAATCTTCATCCATGTTGTGGCAAGAGGTAATCTCCAACACACAAACAAAATCTCTCATTTCATCAGAAACTTGGTTCATGCCCAAATGTCAAATGTAAAGGATTGGTTAGTGTCTTCATAGCCATTGCAATAATTGATTACTTCCTATTGGTAGGGGCTCGATTCAATTTGATGAGACTGACAGTAATCGGCATCGAGAGGTGTAGTCTCTACATTATTGTTTTCACAGTGTTGGTTGGTGGTTATGTTTTCGGCATTTTCTGGTTGAGGACAAGCGCTTGATTGGATATGATGAGATTAATGGTTATCACCATCCAGAGATTTAGTGTCTACATTATTGATTCCACTGTCTTGGCTGGCAAGGGTTTTGGCACTAGGGAATGAAACCCATAAATCCATTAGTTTTATAGCTTTAGCTGCTACTTTCTCTAATTTTTTCTTCCTCTTTCTAGTTTTCCTAACTACTCTTGAGTTTGTACATCTGTATAATAGATAAGATGAACCATTAGTGAATAATATGTGTGTGCACGTATAAGCACACTTGTAAGTGTGTGTTAATTTGAGTGCTTGTGAGAGAGAGAGAGAGAAAAAGATGTCAGAACAAGATTGTTTTATAACAACTGATTGAATATCATTTTCTGTACATAACTCAAAAATGTCAAATTGTGTACTTGGATCACCTATACTATCTATACCCTACAATTAATGATGCTTGTCAAGTTGTCAACGAATTATTTACAGCTGACAAGTGGGCCAGTGCAAGTCCACGAATTATTATGGATTATTTACGGGATAACAATTTGTTCAAGAACCACAATTGATACAGTATATCCTAAAATCTTAAAATACTGTTGCTTACCTTATAAGCAATAATTGAGCTCTTTTTTGAACAAAATCTGAAGCCTTTGAGAATGAAGAATCGAAAGATATAGATATCTTCAATCTAACCTATCCTTATGTCTAGTCATATTCTAGACCTACTGCTTGATCATACGATAAGAATCGGCATATCGGGCGCAAGCCACGAGGGATAAGTCTGGTTGACAGTGTCACGAAAATGTGGAGTGAAGAAATTTTGGTTGGCCAAGGCCTATCACTCGATTAGCATGACTAGGTCTTGCCTCGCTTAGACCTAGAACAATTGCAAATTATATGCAAATATGGTAGGTAAGATTGGAGCTACACCTAGTGACATTATTCGGAAGCGACCACTCGAATCTTTGCACTTTACACCATAGATATGCCTGCCCACAACCTCTTTCTTTCATTCTCTTTCTTTTTTTCTCCCTCCTCTCTTTCTTCAAAAACAAGGAGATTGAATGATATTTATTAAGCATTTTCCTAAAAAATGAAGACAGGTCTTTTTTTTATAATGGGTCTTTTTTTAGCCCATTCTTGAGGCTACAGCCCTAATAGCCCCCGCCTTAATCCACCCCTACTTATATCCATGTACTTTTCATTCCTTTACTGTTTAAGTTGTTACAATATCTTTATTGATTAATTGTCAAAACTTCTAAAGCAGAAGTTTGGTTGGTGGTAGTAGCAACTGATGGTGTGGAGGCTAAGTGTGTGTATTATTTAACATTTGTTTATATTAGGTACAAAGCTAAAAGAATGAAGTAGACTTTAGAGTAATTTAAATGTTTTTTTTTTCTCAGTCTAGAACTGTTAGAAACACAAGTTGTAAAGTGGTGAAATAAACTCGTGCATGTATCATTTACACATAACTGTGTAATTTTAAAGCAAGACATGACCCATAACTTCGCTTCTGTATATATATATATATATTTCTAGGGCACATCGTCTTCCATCTATCACTTGTACTTCCTTTTTAAATTTTGCCGTACTGCCTTCCAATTATAGGCCTGGTAGTAAGGCACTCAATTCCCAACCTGTGGGTCACGGATTTAAATCCCTTCACCGAACATAATCGCCTTTGCAGCCATGGGGGTGTTATAATGTACGGTAAATCCCACATTTCGTCAGTTAGTCCAAGAGTTGGCGGTGGATGGTGTTGACTAGCTGCTTTCTCCCTAGTCTATCACTTCTAAGTAAGGGATGGCTAGAACGGATGGTCCTCAAGTAGATTTGGGCAAAATACAACAAAACAAGCAAACAATCTATATCATCATATCCCATATTTTCTACTCATACAAAATTCGTGCATTATTTACAATATTCATGTAAAGAGCTTTTAACAAGCACCAGATGTATAAATGTATGATGACTGTAGTACTTATTTATTTACCTTAGCAAGGTCGATACTCCATCTTAATCACATGCT